TATATATATATATATATATATATATATACTGTTTCACAGGACTGAGCTGTCGCAGAAGGATCATTAAGAGGTGAACTGCCATTGCAGACATCCACATAAGTTCATTTGCTTAATCACCCATCTATTTGTATGGAAGAGGCGCTTGTGATTCCTCTGCCCTGCTAATAATTGCAGAGGCATAAGGAAGAACTAGAAAACACCGTCCCCGCGTTGCCCTTTCACCCGAGACTTTGTAAGCTGCACTTATTAAAGCGAAAAGTGTTTCAATATGTGGTAAGCTTTAGGGGAAAAACGTGATGGGGGTTGGGATAGGGGCCCTCTTTTTTTTTTTGCCGCTTGATTTCTATTGGCTAGAATTGGAGTAAGTAATTTATCCATGTTAGCTGTAGGTCATTGCTGTAATTTCCATCTACTGGCGCTGTTAAATGTAGGGAGGGTAGTAAGTAAAATCTGCCCTTATCTAATAGCCCGTACCGGTGCTTAGGGAGACAGAAAAAAAAAGAAAAAGAAAAAAAAAAGGGGGGGATTTATGAATGAATTTAGGCATGTGGTTGACGTGTGGATTTGAGGGTGGGGGTACCTTAGGTAAATTTGACTCTCCCTTTCATTTGGTGGAAGTGGTAACCCCTGTTTCCTTTATTTAGAGAGTTCATAACCTTGCTTACTTTGTAATAATACGTATACGAATAAATTAAATATTTTCATATTTTTTCTTTGTTTTTCTTTTCTCTCCAGGGCCCATTGGACACTGAGCACCCTTGGGCCTGTCTGTCAAGTAGACATGTTTCAAACTGTTCCTGACACCTCGTCTTACGTTAAGGTAAGACATCAACGTCTCTTGAATCAGGTAATTTTGCAGAGCTGTTCTCCTTACGTTTGCTAAAACTGTGATGATCATCAACAAACAAGTTTGGCACAGAATATGACACTATTTTCCAATTGATACAATGCTATAAGTGACCCTTTAAATCAGTTATTTGTGGAGGAATGAAAAAGAGTTTAAGGTCATTAAACATACTTGGAAAAACCAAAGACATTTTAGTCAGGAGCTTCAGTTTTCAAAGTTAATTTTCTTTAGGAATGGGCTGTTTGGGATTCTCAGGGTATAATGTTGAGTATTTTTATGAAATATTTAATATTATTTTTTTAAGTAGAATGTCTGCTAAAATAATATGTTTAATCATCTTACTATATAACATTTATTCTTTATACCATATTTAATTAAGATACTGGGTTAGTTAGGGATTCTTAATTTGTACTGCTTTGTTTCAACTGATTGTATTTTGAATAACATTTTATTAAGTAAAAAATTACTTGTGGTTAAGAAAGTGTATATGCAATAATATCTATTGATGTCTACATTTAAGTTGTTTTTAGTTTGTTTTAGCGAGCTTTTGTTGCTAGTGCACATTAGTTTGTTCTCTTTCTGTTTGGAAGTAATACTTTTCCAGTTCTTGGTCATTAATACAGCAAGATCAGCCTCTGAAGTCAGAGTTCCTGTTGGGAAAGTCAGAGGTCATGGACCAGCCCTGAGCTCAAATTCCAATATGGCTGCCAAAAATATTAGACATTGATATTTGAAACTTGGTAGCATTTATAACAGTAAATAGGTGCCACATATACTAATGTCAAAAGTTGTTATCACCAAAAACAAACTGACAAATACTGGATTGTTGATATTCTGGGGCTGGTTTAACCAATAGTTTAACAACATTAGAATAGATTGAAACACTTTCATATTTCAGTAACCTTTTATGGCTTAAAAAAACGATTATTTCCTAAACCATATCTGCAACTCTTCGAAAAATGTTGCCTATTCTAGTTGAATAAGGCCTTAAAACCTGGTATTTATTTAATGTACTCATTTGAGCTTTTTACATATTACACCCATGTTTCCAGGTGAAATGCCTGTAAATTTCTGCACCAATTTAAATGATGTGGAAAAGTAATTTAATGTTGTTTTACTGCATGATGGATCACAATAAAAAGTGTATGCTTTTACTCTGAAGTCGCGTTGTTTCTAAAAGTCTCTGTTGTTCATCTGTGTCAACTGGTATATAACTCAATATGGTGTTAAGTGTCATTATCATGATGTCATGTATCTTCCTCTTTCTGTCCTTCACGCTCCTGAGAAGGTAAACAAAGCGCACATCTGTTTTTCCCATAAAAACCGCATCGCGTCGGTGATGAGTTGCGCAGCAGGGATACCTGCAGCACGCATCCAATAAGCGCTGAAACATTTTTCGATACAGTATAATGTGTGTGAGTCTATATAAGGTGAACATCAAATGGAAACGTGTGAACGTCGGGCGGCTGCTTGACGTCTGACGCTTGGATTCCTGCCTATAGCTTTTCAAATGAGGCATTGAATTGCGCATGGCTATGTTTCTTCTTAATTAAGGTGTTTTTCCAAAGGCCGACTTAATGTTTTGAGGACCCCCCCCCCCCTTTTTTTTTTTTTTTTTTTTTTTTAATAAGGGCTCCTTTCTTCCAGCCGCAGCCTTATTGCTGAGGGACTTTGCGTTTAAAAATCGGAACAATTCCCGATTTGTTGCGAGAGAGTTCAATAGCAGGGAATGTTTAAATAGAAAATAAGAGCCTAAATGACTCTTTCTGTAAGAGGCGCAGGAAAAGGGGAAATAGAAGTCACCTCTCTATTTTGCAATGCTTTGTGTTTCACGGTCAGTCGTGGAAACGTAGCCTAGATTGTTTCCTTGTATTCTGGAGTTTCCTATTTATGAATCTGACTGGATCCCTGAAGATCATGCGGAGAGCTGTTGGTGAGCATGTGGCACGCCTCAGTGTACGAAATCTGAAAGAAATATTCCCTATCATTCGAGCGAATCCAAAGGGCCCCTGCATTTGGTTTTGTTTGGTTAAGGCCAGGCGAGACTGGAACTCTCCAATAAAAATAAATCTCAAATTAATTATGGCCTAGAGCGAGGGGCCAGACAGTTCGTGCTTCTATGTGCTGCAGACTCCAGATTTTTCTTTTTTTCTTTTTTGCCCTCAGTATTTTGACTCGGGTAAATGCCTTTTAGCCTGAGAGCAGGAATGATCTGAATATGAGTCTGCAGTTTAATAAAAAAGAGCAATGGCTCACATGGACTTGGTATGCTTTAGCCTTGGAATTCTGTTTTCTTAAGAATACTCACTGCATATGCATTTTACTTTTATAAAATAGACTAAGGTTGTTAATAGAAATATGAGAATTAACAAATACTATCTATTAAATAAAGGAAAAAAACGAAAAACAATAGAAATGAATGAGAAAGTGCATGTAATATATTAAAGAAACAACACCATGCCAGCTCATCCTATTTCCTATCTAACCACAGATTTATACAAATTAGAGAAGAGAGGATGGGCCCACAACAATTGAAAAGCTGCTGCATGTATAAACTGACTAAGTGTCCGCCCACTCCTGGCTTGTTGCCTCAGTGCTGAGACAGAGGAGCTACTGGCTGGTGGTGTAAGAAGAAATGTCTGGCTGTCTAGTTCCAGCGTCAAAGCCAGATGTTCTGTGGTTCCCTGTGTAAACCAACTCGCATCTGTTTATTGGCCTTCTAAAATGTTTGTTAGCGCTTTATTCATTATGATCTTGGGAGTTCTCGCTACCTCTTGTCTTTTTGATTAGATTTATGACCAGAATTGTGAATATTCTTGTAAAATAAAGGAGTTTGGTTTTGGAATTATTACTTACAGGTTAGCAAGATTAATTGCAGAAAAGAAAATATTTTGGAAGGTAAAACAAGATGAGCCTGGGCGTTTTAAATAATTTATAACAAATTGTTGGCATAAAAAGTGAAAGTCAGGGTGAAACATAAAATTGATGGAGTGTTTCGAATAGTAGGACCAAAGTTTCAGTAGGCCCAGATCAGAATTAAATTTTGAGGATACACTTACATTAAAAAATACAACACCTTCCTGTTCCTTCTACTTAACTGGAAAAACAAACAAAGAAAAAAAACTGTTTGGTTTTTCAGGGAAAGCTGTATGAAAATGTTTAATGGAAAGTTAAGTGGAGGGAAAAAGTTTACAAGAAAGGATTAGAAAATAATGCTAAACAATGTGGGGCTTTTAAAATAAAAACATTAGTTTTGGCTTTTTTCCAGCTTTATGCCATAATCAGCTAAATATTTAAACTTTTGAGTTATGTACAATAGGAAATAAACTCTTAATTATACTTAATCCATCTTAAGGCCCCAAGGTCTACAATTTTGCAGGTGTGTTCAGCCTAAACCTGCTAACACAGGCTGGTAGATTACCATATTGTGAGAGGATCAAGTAAAAATATCAAAATACGATATTTACACAAAATCTTATAACAAGGACGTTTAAAATAATCTGGTTTTACTGATCATACAGAGGTAACCTCTTGCTAAAATAAATAAAACATACAATATAGTACTACTAACTTGTTATGTTTCTTTTTATTGTTATTTTTGTTTCTGATGTGATATTATACCACTTGCTTTTTGTCCATCTGCTCTGACACAAGTAAAGCCAATTGGATTTATGAGCAATCTTTGGGAATGCTTGGTGGACACCTGCTGAAGTGAGTGCCAGAAACAAGGATTCCAATTCACCTGTAACAGATTTACAAATCCCCCTACTTGAAAAAAATCTTCTAAAAAACTTTCATGGTTTAAAAATTGTGGTAACAGGATGATTTTCCTAATTTCTTTCTGTTTCTGCTGCTTTAGTTTGAGCTGGAGTTACATTTAAAGGGTAGCTTTAGGCGAGAAGTTAACCAAAAACCTATATTGCACTCAGGCTTAGATTAGCTTATCCTGGTATAAATTAGTTAATCTATCTGTTAGTGGTGAAGATCAGAGGTAGTGTTAGTGATTTATTTCTAGAACAATGTAGCAACTTGCAGGGGAGGGGGGTTGTTTCCCCAGTAATCAGAAAATCTAAGCTCCAGCTGGGAAAAACTTTAATTTCTTCTGCAATTATTTTGGCATCTCATGAAAAGGTATAAGATGATGAAATACTTGTGGCTATGGAAATGCCATATATATATATATATATATATATATATATATATATATATATATATATATATATATATATATATATAACTTGTGCAGGTCTTTCAATATTCCCTCTATTTTTCAGACATAAATTCATATTTTCATGATGTTAATATTTTCATCAATCATGAATTTTACCTCTGTACCCCCAACATTTTGTCTATAACAAAATGATGCAAAACTCCAGACTCTGGAATGTAAAGAAAAAAGAAAAAAAAAGAGAATGAAAAGAAAAGAAAGCAGGACGGTCACTAAAGAGTTAAACAAGGTGTCTCCCTTAATTATTGGAGTCAGAGCTGGCCTCAGGCAGGAGAAGCCTTGACCCTTAGCAGGATCCAGATGTGGTGGTCCCAAGGGTGGGGGCCCATGCCGCCCCGCCAGACCCCCAAGTGGAGAGCAGACAGGCCGGCCCTGCTGTCAGGGGCAGACTGTTTGAGTCTGAGAAGCTGCTTCCCCATAGGCATATACAAAAAGGATTCATTATTCTTATCATCAACTAAATCACAATAAAAGCTATTAAACATTAAGAGACAGCGGGCCTCGCTTTGTCCAACGAAAAGTCTGGTTTCCCCTCTCTAAATAGTGTTTTTGACCCCGCAATTTGACTTAAATTTAATGAAATACCCTTTATAAAAAATTCTTAAAATGTTTTCACCTTGCTTTTAATATGCCTCAGGAGATTGAGACCCTGAACTAAATAATTAAAAACATTCTTAAGGGTTTCTGTTCAGGCATTTTAAATCAAATCGTGGCAAGGAGCTGAATACTTGTATTTTAATAATGTTGTCCTAGGAAAGTCTAACAGATATGG